TGCATCTGTATTCCTTCCTGAGACTCTTTTAGCTCTCATTTTATCTCTCTTAAAGATCTGCCCCCTCCCTTTTATTCAAAGTCTACCCATCATTAGTTTATTGTATTATATTTCTCATTTTACTTAACTTTCCACATGGAGTGCCAACAGCACTAATCATGGTTGTGTTGATGTTTCCACAATTACATTGCCATTCTTTTTCATTCTAAAACCATATCTTGGATTTCTTGGTACTGAGCATACAGGTTTCTAAAAAAGTAATTGCCGATGTGATTCATCTTCAGACTTTTCTTCATTCAACAGCATTTAATGAGCACCTACATGTACTAGCAGGTTAAATAGAACTCTCCAATGATTTGATTTTTAAATTGGTCATTTGATTCTTAAAATTTCAACTTTCCCTAAAACTTCTATGTGAATACCTTAGAGGAAAAAGTCCATCTCTCTTTTCTTCTTTTTCTTTTTAACTTTACACAAACTCTGCTTCACTCTGGCTCACTGGAGACTGTCGGGCGATGTTCTTCGTGCCCAAGCCTGTCAACATTTTTCTCTTCAAGTTCCACTGAGAAAAACGTAAATAGAGAGATTAAGGTGTCCTTTTAACTTCCCCAAATTTCAAAACATCTAAAGGAAATAGTTGGTAAAATAAGACAAAATAAGTTACTTACTTCTTTTTATCCTCTGACTTCAGTTTCTGGCAATCATATGCACTGAATAATTAGCTCAAATGCAGAATGAAATAATTCTCAAAGACAATTGCTGATATCTGCCCGCACAGAAACTGAAAATGGTAGAATTAGAAACATATCTCAGATCTCAGATACTGCCTCGATCAATTTACCCATTTGTTCTGTTTCCCAGTGATGGCTTAGAAGTCTATAGTAGAGGTTAACATGGTTGCTCTCAAGTAATAAAGTGACCATAAGTTAGATAGTACCTACTGATCCTATACCACCCACCTCAGACTTACCTACATGCCATATTTTAGACACACAGCTTTAGTGAGTTGAGGGGGATAACTTAAAGACACGCTTAAGGAGTTTAGGAAAATCATAACAAAAAAGGTAGTAATAAAAAAAACAGAAAGAAAAACATTAAGGAGAAGAGGATAGATTTACTTAATAGCTAAAAGGAGGAGGAAAGAAGTATAGAGGGTTTCCTACCTTGCTTTCATGGATTTGGTAAAGATCTGAATACAAACTACAAGACAAACTAAAAAGCATCTTGAATTTCTCACAGGCTAGAGGATCTTTTCACATCCACCACTTGCACCTGTATTTTCGGTGTTAATCTTTGAAGGGAGCAGTCAAGTGGTAAAATCTCTGAACCCTCTGACTGATGTTGAACCAAAATAACTATGTGAAAACGGCTGCTTTGTTTACATGATTCTGAAAAGGGCAAAATGGTTTGACGGTCTTTTTCCTGATTGATCTGATATTTGGACATCATGCACACTGAGCCTTGGAGGAATAGCCAGGCAGCCCAGCCATTTGGGGGATTGTCAGCATGACTTTTTTTATATTCTCTGGCTTTTCTCCTGAAGTTCAATAAAGGCCATCTTTCAGAATCACATAAATCCACTTACAGACAACAACACAACAAAAGGATTTATGCTCTTTAGGTGAGAGTGAAATGTTTATTCATTTTTTTTTTAAAAAAAAATCTCCTTTGCCTTTTGCCTTGGGCAAAGTTTTGGTCCCTGTGTTCATTTTAAGCTTCCCTTGAATCTGTCCACCTTCTTTGAATCTCTACCTCGTTTTGTCCAAACTAGAGGATAACAGCGTCTATTACTTTATATATCTTGTTTCCAGAAACAATAGCCTCTGGCACTTCCATTATTTATTCTCTCTCCTTCTGTCAGTGACACAACGGTCTGCTGCTTGCCAAGAACTCTGCTTTTCCAGACCAGTGATTCCGTTCCCTCCAGCATTTTCTCGGATTTAATTTCTTGCAAAGAAAAAAAAAAAAGGATATGGTTGATAGTTCTGTCAAAAAAGGAACTCAGCTTTGAATACATTAGGCTGGACCTTGGAAAAATCCTGTGTCTGACATCGAAACTGTTGATGAAGATGTTAGTGTGGTCATGATGGTTGCAGGTAATGGTGATGGCGATGATGGTGGCCGTGGTGGTGGTATTGATGGTATTGATGGTGGTGCTACTGGTAATGGTGATGGCGGTGGTGTTGATGGTGATGGTGATGATGAGGATGGGGATGGGGATGGGGATGGGGATGGTGGTGGTGATGGTGAGGGGACATGATGCTTATGATCCCTATTTGTTGGTCTGTGTGCTTTTCCTTCTGAAGAGTCAGGAGTTTGGGGGATAATTTGATCCAATTGTAGAGTAATGGAGAAAAATATAGCAAAAATGTAGTAGGCTAAAGTGACATCAAATAAGTACAGTCAGTGTTCTATTATTTGACTGATAATCTTAAGACTGGAAAATAATTCAGTTGCCCGTGCTGAGAATAAAACATTCAACAGTATTTCACTTTTACTTCTGCCCTGGCTGCAGTTTCATGTTTGCATCACTCTCTTTTATATGAGAGCTATTTGCAAATATAATTAAATTAGATAGTATCTAATGTTTATGCCACCTGAGTAAATTAGTCTATTTGCCAGAAATTGCTTACTGAACATTCTCCCAAAACTTCTCTCAAGCATTCAGAGCTTATTTTGGCACTGGGAAGTTACTGGACAGATTCAAGGGAAGCTGGTCTTGCCTATAGGTTGAAGTATTTTAGTGAGAACTTATAGTATTCACTTATCCTGAATGTTTATTGAACGCCTTTTTATGTGGTAGATGCTGAATCAAACAGAGGAGAAACAATGCTTATCTCGAATACTAATGGATGACATAGAATTGCAAACTTCACAGCACAGTAAGAAATTTATTAAAATAGACTTCCGTGAGGTACAGAAAAACAAGAGGAAAGAACATCTAAGTGCCACTTAGTGGGCAGGCAAGGTTTTACTTGTGAAGAGATCATTTTAGCTATGACTTCAAGGGAAAATTTAAGCAGAAAAACCTTTTCAAATATAAGAAACAGAATCCATATGAGTATATTGGCGTGAGTGCATATGGCTATTTTACAATAACTGCAGCCATTCCAGCATTGCTCTGGAGCAGTGGAGTGTGGGAGAAAAATCTTTCTGATTTCAGACAGCACTGGGAGTCAGTCACACCACATCACATGGAAGTTCTTATAGGCCTTTCTATGTGAAGGTTTTATCTTCTATCAACTAAGTTCAATGACATGTTTAGCTGTTAGAAAGCTCTTGGAGAAGTCAAGGTAGGAGAGAGATTAGAGTGAGTGGGTGGACTTTGAAGGTGAGAGCAGATTGAAACATTCAACTAATACAAGGATAGTAGCAAAGCGAATGAGGGGATTGATGTATAAAACAGAAAAGAAATAGTATCTTAGTGGGTAAAAAACATTTTAAAATATGGGAAGGAATAGGATGATTTCCAAGTTATTTGTTTACTACATGGGAATGAAAAATGCCAAATAATGTGTAATTTTTTGCTAAATTTTTCAGTTTCAAAAATAATTAAGTTCAAGTTCATAGAAGGGAAATGTAATTAGAAAGGACTACTTGCAGAAGTATTAAGGTAGAAGTGAGGTATCCACGAAATGGTACATACAACACTCTGTAAGAAAATACAATTTTCCTAAATGACTTAGAACTCATTTTCTATATCCTATTATGTTCCAGAGTCTCTGGACCCATACCTTTCTCCAAACAAAATTATATTTCTAACTGGAGAAATATATAAAATTATCCGTCACAAATCTTAGTAAAGAAGGACAGAAGAAGAGGAAAGAAGAAAATGGGGGATAACTTATAATTATTCTCATGAACATGGGAAAGTAGAGAGTAAGATTTTACTTTTCAGGCTGGAAAATCTGACCTGACATGTCCAATAAAACAAAATAAAATTCAACAGTAAAGTCATCATGCTGACATTTTCAAATATTAAGATGTCATTTTTCATTGCCCTCAAGCAAGGTCTATAATATCAAGGGACAGATATTTGCTCTTTTATTAGGAAGGCTATAATATTTCTATTTGTTTCATCCCCTCTTATTGGCTTCTTTGTGTGCAAGTTGGTAGGAACTTGGAACAAAGCCTATAAGATTAGTGCCCATAATAAAAGAATCAAATGACAGAAACAAAACAAGAAAATAAAGTAGGAGAGTTTATCGTCTTCTGCAATCACATTGTTAGTGTATCAGGGTAATTCCAATACTTTCAAGAATAATAGGGTTCTTGATCATATTTTCATGAAAAATGTTCTGGATGATATCCTCATGAAATTCTCATCAATGCCCTTATGTGACACATGCCAAGTGTTGTTAGGGACGGAAGAGGAAGTTCCGCAGAGGAGCATGATCTCTTCAGTGAAGTTAGATTGGAACAAGATCTTGAGGGATGATTAGAAATCAGTTCATCAGAAGGAAAGAATGGTTTTTTTTGCATTATGAAAAGTGAACCACATGTACAAAACCTCAATGCAGGGCTTTGGGCTGAGCAGGTTTGGGGTATATGTAGTAGGTCTCCAGGATGAATTTTAGAATTGCTATTGAGAAACAGTGACCTAGGAAGTATTATATGATATAGAAGCCTTCCAAGTTTAGAAGTTTAGACTTGGGAAGATGTTAGTAGATTTTGAATGGAAGGAGGAGTTGTAAAATTACTGCTTTATAAATGATAACATTAATATTATTAATACTAATAAAATGAACAAACAGCTAACACTTTCTGAGTGCTTATTACAAGTGCCAGACAATACCTACTATGATCCTAATAATATCCTTGGTTGTAGGTAAGATTTTCATCTCCCCGTCTTCCAGACTTATAAACTGAGGAGTGAAATGTGTAGGCACCTTGTATAAAGAAAGCCATCAGTGTCACATGATAGAGCAGATGTGTGAACCTGGCCCAGGATAGGACCTCAGCCTCTCCATCAAGTTTACTGTCGGCATGTCAAAATGCAGGGGGAAGAAAAGCGGAAGAATTGTTCAGGAATCTGATCTCATGGATTACGTCAGAAACTCTAGGGAGTGAACAATCCTCAGGACAGAAGAGGTTGCAGGTGAGCCTGTGGTTGTACTGTCACTCAGAGCAAGATGTCTACACTGTCACGCTTGTTTAGAGAGAGCCACTCTTACCCTTGTAGTAGAGACTGTTCTCTCAGCCAGGCCCCTGTCAACTGGGTTCCTGAAACAATGCCCCTAGTTCTCTGCCTAGTTCACAACTGGTATTTGCTTTCCTTCAAGGATATTTATTTCCTTCCTTCCATTCATAGGGTTTTGTTTCTGAAAATGTTGCAGTCTATTGACTATGTAAATGATGTAGTTGCCTTTCCATGAAAATGCATAAAATTCCTATTGCGCTGTGTGTACTACTATTGGCTTTCTGTGGTGGTTGGGGTGGGGGGATGTAAGTAGCTTAGCACCATTGTGGGAGAAAGAACATCTGTTTGCTTTGGAATCCAAAAGAAGCTCTTCACATGGCTTCCTTCTAAAGCAGATTAGTAAGCAACTTGTGAATAAATTATCTTAAGGATCTTTCTTACCCATAAGAGTAGGAGTTAAATGTCCCTTACAACTGATTCCATCATTTTAGCAGTTACATGGGATCCACACTCTCTGGGATAGATTTTTATAGTACAAGGTAGTTTCCTCTGATTCCCTAAAGCCTTTTGCTTAGGATTTTAGATCTCTTTCTGATCCGTCAAAACGACCTAAGAATATGCTTCCCTGGATCTTTTTTTCCTTTCATCCCATGCCTGCATTTATCAAGTATTTGCTCTTCACTTCCTATATGCAGGGTCTTTTCAGAGACACAAGGTTTACAATATGGAGTGAGACATAGCCAATCCCTTTAAGTAAGAGAGGAGACACAAGAGTTCTATGTGCTGTGAGAAGGCTAGCACACTTTTTTTAGGAAAAGTGAGGTGAGACAACCAAGGCAGATGTGAGTTTATCAGGAAAAATATCATAACAATTACTTCTCATCTAGGACTTGAATGATCTAATCCAATATGGGAAAGTCTTGGGAATGGGTGGGTGGCTAAAGTTAGTCTCTCATTGCAGAAAGAAGAACCAGTGTGCACAAATGTAAGATGGTAAAAGAATCACCATCCAGGAAACCTTACTTATTTCAGTTCATATGCCAGATCAATTTCTGGATTCTTTTAGCATAGTGTGTTCCATGGTATAATTTTTTCTATAAGATGTTGATACATATCCCATGAGAAGATACTATTCTCTAATAAAATAATTTTGAGATATACTGAAATAATTGAAGATAAATTGGTTGCTTTGTTTTGAAATACACATATTTCAACTATGTTACTTTTTACCAGCTTCCAGTATTCTGCAGATTGCTAGAATTACATTTGAAAGCCACCTCTGATATCCAAAATAACCTGAACCATGACACTGAAGAAACTAATGGAGTTTGTACCAATATAAGGCAGGATTATATTTCAATATTCCAAGAGTGCTTATAAGAATTGTCCTAGAATAGCATCTTAGTTATTTCTAGTGTTGTCCAGATGTGTTTGTCTTATGTTGAGACCTATTATAACTTGAACATTTCCTTCAGTTTCCTATGTAGTGTTCCACTGCACAAAACCAATGTGTAGGTATGTTTAATGAGTTATATAAACTTGATTGCTAAGCAGGCAGACCTTCATGGGAAATTGACATCTATGATCGCCATTGATTTTTCATATTTATTTTGCAATGATCAGCTTTCACATTGAGAAAATTTCTTGACAAGCAAGTAAGACACACACAATCTCCTACTGCTTTTCCATATCACAAAGGGTTAAAAGCAGAGGGGAGGTGAATTTTGAGGACAATGATACTCTTTCTCATTCTCTTTGATATAAATGGATAAGTTCTCAATAACTAAATCCAGTGTTGCTTTCTTCTGTCGTCCTAGAAATATATGAAAATCCAATCAGCTGATTTATGACTCATATTTCAGCATGGATAAAACTGAAAATGATTGCTCTTTTCATTGGCTCCTGAACCCACTCCATAACTATGTCTTATATTAAAACCTTGAGTAGGAAGCACCGAAGTATTCTTTTATTTTGGTAGTTTTTTTTTTCAGTAAGTATTAATCGTCCCAATACCTTTACTTATTGAGATATGTTTTTCCCCAAGATGAGACTATTTACATTAATACTTTCCTGCTTCTTAAATCATTGTTTAAAAAAATGTAAGCAATATACCCTGTATACTTATGGGACCAATTCCATTACCCATAGATTCTGAGCTAGAAGTCCTCACTCTAGCCTGAGAGCAAAGGAATGCAGTGTATGCACTGATCCCACGTGGTCATGAGAACTCACAGTTCACCGTGAACTGCTAACTGCTCTCTGGAAAGAATTCTCCTTCCTTCTCACATCTGTGTTTTATCCATTGAGATGTGTTTGCCCAATTAGGATCAGCCATTTTTCTTCATCCATAATTTTCCTAGTTATAATTTTAAAAATATTTTAAAAATTGGTTTAAATATCTTTTTTTTACAAAGAGCTCATAAAACATTCCCCTCAAGCCCAAGGGCAGGCCCATACTTGTGCGTATTCAACCAGGAGCACCTGCATAATATATACCTTAGCTAGACCTCCCTTATCTATGGGGACCCTTCCTGGTTCTAGGTTGAGTAGAGGTTGTATGTTAGTTGAAATTTATTCTGACTATAGGTGAAATATTCCCCACCTATACTAGACTCAGTTGGTTTATATATGCATGCATGCATGCATTCCTTCATTCCTTCATTTACTTATTAGCTGAATTTCTACCTGTAATCCGATGCAGAATGTTTTACACCTTTGTATTTGGTAAAATTGGAACAAACTGACAAAACCAATATAACCAACAAGAACTCTTCTAAATGAGAAACTGAATGCATCTTCAATGTCATTGACATAGTCAGGTACTGCTCCCAGGTACACTTCTTTATTTCTGTTTCTTTTTTCTCCTCCTTTCTCCATTTCTCTCTTCCCTCAAGTCCAGGCTCGGAGTCACCTTTCCTCAGTGGCTGATACAGCAGCAGCAAGGTGTGGGAGAGCAGCGACCACCTCCAGACCTTCTCCCTCGTGTGCCAAGGAGCCTTCAGAGGTGCCCTATCTTCCCAGAGACAGGGCTGCACTAATGGGCTGCCTACTACTGGGCCTTCATTGGCACCTTCCAAAACCAGGGTTTCCCCTTGCTCTTCAGATTAGAGGTCAGAAGGTGGATCTGTAATGTGCTTCTCTCAAAGATTTGCCTAGAGCCCCTCTTGTCATTTAACGGTATTTATCGCACAGCTGATTTTTACTTATGTGGTCCTGGCATGAGAATACAAATTCTCGAAGCAGCTCTAGGGACCACATTTGTCTCTTCCCTTCACACGGACCACAGCAGTTCCAATGGCCCCAGGTAGGGCAAACAGGTAAATTTACACAGGTGAGCATGCATAAATCAGAGCTACCAAGGGCTATCTCCAGGAGCACATCCTCCTAAATTAATATCCCTCCTTTTTCAGTCATTGCTCTCTCTAGGGCCACTTAAATATTCTTGCAAACACATTCAGATCTTAATCAAGTCCTTCTGTCTTTCAGAAGAGCGTGTAGGACACTCTTTATTAATCACAAGAGTTCCAACATTTTCTCATTTCATTAGATATTCTTACAAGCAAAAGAGAGGGTTCATGGATTGGCATTAGTAGGCTCTCTTCTAGGATGAGAAGGAATATTGTGTGTCTAAACTCTGCTTACACAATTAATTTCATGGGGATCTCACCACTGCCCTCAAATTTACACACACACACACACACACACACACACACACACACACACATTGGATTATCTTCCAGGAAGTTATAATATATCTAGAAAATGTACTAAAAAGGAAATTAAGGGAAAGGGGGGAAAAGGAAAAGGATTTAAAAAGGGAAGACAGGGAGGGAAAGAAAAGGGGTGACAAAGAAAGGGAAAAGAAAAGGGAAGAGAAGAAAAAGGAAAGAAGTTGAAGGACAGAAAATATAATGTGGTCACCTGCAAAAAACGGGATTTAAGTAAATAATTAATGATTCATGCATTAAGAGCTAACATATTTAAATATTTGTTATCTACTGGCTTATTTGCTATGCACACCACATATGTTATCTCCTTTAATATTTCTAATAAATTTCTATTCTTTTCATTGTAGAGAGGAGGTGAGAGGCTTAGAGAGGTCAAGTAACTTGTCCAAGGTTACACAGCTCTGATTTGGAATCCAGAAATCCACTCTGCCCTAGAATGTAATCTTTATTGCTTACCTAAGAAAATTATCAGAAAACCAGATAATTAAATTAGTATATTATCTATTTATCTATCTATCTATCTACACACACACACATGCACACATATGCATACACACACATATATTCAAACTATAGGACATTGCCATTTTTGTGAGTCAAAATGCTTGAAAATGAGCAATTATATAATTCAGCCTAATAAGTATGTTTGCATACATACATGCACTTTATATTTATGCAAATAAGTTTACATGTTCATACTAGTAATTAATATTTCTTCTAAACATATTGAGTTTAAGGAAATACTCTAAATACTTTACATTCATAGTTTTACACAGTCTTTCCACCAAACTTATGAGGTTGGTGACTTTATTTTACCCATCTTATGAAAGGAAACTAAGGCATGGAGATATTATATTTCTTCTTAAATGTCACCAGTTATGACAGGGCTCAAATCTGTCCTTCACTAGTCTGATTTTAGGCCTCATTCTCTTGACCCCACGTTGTATTGATTCCATATTTTTTGTATCCATCTCTATATATGTTAGGAGGAAATACATGCTGGGGTAAATATTATCACCCTTATGGTTTTCAATTTTTGCATTTTGCCTTCATATATCTCCTCCCACTTCATAGCTTTTCATTATTTTTATTTAATATTTAAATATTTAAATGGATGAGGATTAAGGTGTTTAAGTAGCTAATTCAAGGTTACACAATAATTAATGACTAAAGGAGGACTCACACTTTAAAGTCATCCGGCCCCATGGATTTTCTGTTTCAGTGCTATGCCCTAAACTATGTAAATTCAGATGCTCATTTGAGAAGCAGATTACTTAATGGGGATAAAATTTATATTGTCTTGCAAGCTCATTGTAATAGCCAACACAGTGGATATTTCTGATGCACATATTTTATAAGGAGTATGAGCCCCTCCGCTCTTTGGAGTTAACACTTCACGACAGAAATGTGTATGTCATCTTCAATCCCTCCTCCCTAGTCCCCACATGCAATCATACATTCCAACGTGTGTATTTTCCACCCTTATTATTTTTAGAAATGTTCAGGGTCATAAATCCCTGTCCTGACCTAGGTATTAATCTTCTTGTCATTGGTCTTGTCTTTTCAAATTCATCTCCTTCACAGCGATCGAAGAGATCTACTTAAACTACAAATTTATTTGGAGTACTTCCTTTTTAGAACTCTTCATCAGATTCCAATTATGGGATCAGGTTTGAGTTTCTTAAGCACAATATATGAATATTTCACAACTCCCCTCTCTTAGCCACCTTCTTTCAATTCTCCCAGAAAATTCATACTAGTAATTTACTTATGTAAATTACTATGTGCACTGAAATGTCTTGCTTCTCTACATTTTCTCAGACTGCTCTACCACATCATCGTGATCATGTTTATTGCCTAAGTCTTTTCTTCAGAACAGTTTTAGGTGCACAGAAAAATTAACAGGAAGTTGGAGAGACTCCCCATAGACTTCTTAACGCAGCCTATGCATTGCTACCCCACTAGACCTACCATAACCACCCAAAGTACTCAGTTTACATTAGGAGTTACTCTTTGTGTTCTGTATTCTGTGGGTTTGAACAAATGTGTGTTGGGATATGTCTTGTCATTGCAGTGGCAAACCGGTTTATTTCATTGCCCTAAAAGTCCTCCTGCTTTGCCTATTCAAAATCTTCCAACTTTTGGCAACCATTAATCTTTTATTCTCTCCACAGTTTTGCCTTTTCTGAAATGTCGTGTAGTAGGAATCATACTTCACGTTCACTTCTTTTACTTAAGAACATGCATTTAAGGTTATTCCGTGCCTTTTTATGGTTTGTTAGCTCCGTTCTTTATGGTGCTGAATGATAGTTCATTGTTTGGATGTACCACTGTTTATTTATCCACTCACCTCCTAAAAGACATCTCGGTTGCTTCCCAGTTTGGAGAAGCTGTTATGAACAAAGCTGCTACAAACATTTATGTTCAAAGTATTTTATGAACATAAGTTTTCAACTCCTTTGAAAAATACGAAGAAACACGATTGCTTGATCATATGGTAAGAACATGTTTAGTTTATAGGAAAATGCCAAACTATCTTCAAAAACTGCTGTGCCATGTTGAATTCTCAACAGCAGAGTACAAGAGGTAGTGCTGCCCTCCATCCTTCACGGGTTTTGGTGTTCCAGAGTTTGGTCACTTTAATAGGTGTGTAATGGTCTTCTTGATGTTTTAATTTGCATTTCTCTGGGAACATGTGATATGCAGCATCTTTCCATATGTTAATTTTCCACCTGGTTATCTTCTTTGATGAGGTATCTGGTTCATGCTTTTGGCTGGTTTTTAAATCAGGTTGTTTGTTTTCTTAGTATTGAGTTTTGAGAGCTCTTTGCAAATTGAGGATAACAATTCTTTATCGGAGATGTCATTTAAAAATATTTTCTCCCCATTTGTGACTTGTCTTCTGATTGTCTCAATTCTTCCCTTCAGACGTAGATTTTTTTTTTAATTTTAATGACACCCATCTTATCAATTATCTTTCACGGATTATGCTTTGGTGTTGCATGTAAACATCCTTGCCATTCTAAAAGTCCTGCAGATTTTCTCCTGTGTTATCTTCAAGGAGTTTCACAGTTTAGATCTATCATACACTTTGAGATAATTTTCAGAAAGGTGGAATGTCAGTGTCTAGATTCAAGTTTTGCACGTGGGTGTGTAGCTCCCACTCCATTTGTTGAAGGCCATCTTCATCCTATTCTGTTGGTCTCTTTCCGGGATTCCTCGTCTTTTTCATTGACTTATTTGACTTGTCTCTTGCCAATGCCATATTATCGCAATTAGTTGTATCTCATCTTTACCAACAGTTTGAAGTAGGTACCCTAGTATTCCATTTCAGAGACTTGCCAGGTTTGCAGTAATTTTCTTGGGTGACACATCTGGGGTTCTCTGTTTCTCTGATGAAAATCCTTCTTCCATGTCTGCCTGATAGAATCATACGCATAATATGTTTTCAATCATTCTGTGTGTGGGAACTCAGCACACATGCCGTGTCCTGGGAGCACAGCATGGTCACGGATTCCCATTTATTGATGGCAGCCAGGTTTTACTACCCCTATTACCACTTGTAGGCTGCAGCCTTTGCTCAGGCCGTGTTTCGCAGAGACATGCCCTTTAGTACCTGGGATTCTATTCTCAGGCCTGGAGGACATGCCAATACCCCACATTCCTGGAAAAGTGGAGTTTTGGCTTGATCAATTCCAGGGAGCACAAACGTACTTGAAGCTTTGGTTCTAACTTGTGTATCCTCAACCTTCTCTCCCAAGGGTTCTAGTGCAAGCTCTGTTCTTATGAAGACAGATATGCAGCATTTTCCTGTCTGGGGGCAAGTTTGTAATTCTTTTTACTGTTTTCCATACATTGTTTGTCTCTCTTTCCTACCAGGTTGTTAGCAACATGAGAGCAGGGTCTGGATCTTACCTGTTCAAGAGTGTATCTCCAGCGCCCAATGCCTGGCATATAGTAAGTGCTCAGTAAACCTTTAAATGGATTAATACATTTTATGGGCATAATATAATTTGCTATGAAGTCAAAATAGACTTTTGGAAAGGTAGATACATCAGGTCAAATTGGATATCTGATACTTTTGTTAAAAGGTAATTAATCTAGATGGTCAAGTTAGAATATTTTTTGAACTCTAGCTTTAAGTTCAACCACAGACAAAAGTCAAATTATTAGTTAAGATATGTCTGCTATTCCAAAATCTGTAGATTTAAGTTACCAGAAAGAAGAGGCATACTCTACCTTAAGCACATAGCTTAATATGTCAAATTTTTCTTAGTTTAATTTTTAAAAAAAATATCAGACTTTTTTGAACCTAGCCCTATATTTCTCCTAGCAGCAATGATTTAGGATTTTCAGTCAGTTCCTTGGAGTTGTATAGTTCCCTGGTAGAACATGTTCTTAGCATGTTCCAAGGCCCTGGACTCAATCCCAGCACCAAAATATGAGTAAACAAACAAAAAACTGAATGTAGTATTTTTCAAGTTTGGTGTTCATACTGATTTCATGGAACAATCCTTGTGAATAACAAGAACTGACTCTATTGAGACTCACAGTAAGGGGCTGGGTTGTGCAATCACAGAGACTGGCAAGTCTGAAATCTGCTGACCAGGCCAATAGGTGAGATACTCAGGCAGAAATGAATGCTGCAGCCTTAGGGCAAAAAAAAAAAAAAAAAAAAAATCTTACCAGAAAACCTTAGTGTCTGCTTTAGGGCTTCAACAGATTAGATGAGGCCCACCTGCATGATTACCAAAAATCTTGTTTACTTAAATTCAACTGATGGTAGATGCTAACCATGTCGACAGAATAACTTCAGAGCAACACTTAGATTCATGTTTGGACAAATGACTGAATACCATGGCCTAACTAAGTTGACTCATAAAATCAATTGTCATAGTCACATAATCATGACAGATATTCAGGTACTTACAGTAAGGCCAGTTTACTGAGTGGTATTTTTATTTATAGGACTGAGTCCTAACTGTATCTACACAGGGAGAAAAATAAAGCGAGATCCAACATGTTCCTGCTCCAAGTGAGATGTCCACATAATTGGGAACAAAATTTCTCTCTGACACCCCCATAACTTCAAGACTGAGCATCAACCCGTTCACTCGCTGGCACGGGAAAATCTTACCCATTTACCCAACTAATGTGCCTTATCTATAAATGTGAGGATGAAAATAGCACCACCCTTGACATCCGGACTTTTAAAATAGATATTCCAACAATGTTAGCTCCTCCCAGCTCTGACTCCTGGCGATTGTGGAGACAGATGCAGGGGAGTACCCAGGCACAAACTCCCCTAATGCAGAGCAGGCAGACAAGTGCCAGGCTGTCTGCAGGAAAGGGCCTACTGAATCCCAAAGATTTTCTGTGTGTCAGAAAGATCAGCTCAGGCTAGAAAGAACATGGGAATGGGGCAGGTGCATGGTTTTGTCCCTGTATCATCAAGAAAGAAAAGATTTCAAATACATTAGCCTTGGCACTCATTTCTACGTTCTATGGTCAAAGAAAGCCGATCCCACAGCAGAAAGAAAAAAGTATGCTGTGGACAAAATACAGATTCCCAGTGCCTTTGATATCATTTTTTTTTCCCAAAGCAGAAACCACTCACAAATTCAGTCACATAGAGATCACAGCCACCCAGTGAAAAGCTTTAGTTAATTAGCTCCTATATACAATACTAAAAGAAAAAGCCGTGTGACCGTGTTTCCACTGTTTTGTTTAAAGGTTGCTGGCTGGTGTGTGAGTGTAGCCATACCCGCCACAGACAGGAGACTAATTGTGGAAGGTGAAATCAAGATCTTGCTCTTGCAAACGCTCTCTGCCTGAGTGTACCTGCTCCCTTGATCCAACCCTGTCCCTGACCTCTGCATCATAAAGTGACAGACCTTGGGAAGAATCAGGGGACATTCTAAAGCAAGAATAAAGCTGTCATTTTTATAGTCAAAAGTGTCAGAGCTCAGACATCAATGGTAATTCAGAAAAGTCAGTAATGTATTTTGGACCCATGCTTACTGACATTTAGCAGCTATTCCACATAAGAGTTATTTTTGAGTCGTTCTGGCTTTGTAACAGAATCATCAATATTATGTCTTTGCCTTAAAAGTATTATTTCCACCTCACAGCTTCCTCTCACTGGGCCACACAACATAAGCCACATCAATTTTAACATAGAGTTATTTATTTTATTTTTTTTTTAAATTTTGTATTTGTATTTACTTTGTTGTAAAATATTTACTTTCTAAAGTTCCTTCTCTGCTTCATAACAACAATAACAACAAAAAACACACTCAGCATTGTTGCCTTAATTCAAATAACTGCCAATTGTTAAGTTATTTTTCAGGTTGAAAATGATTAAAGCAATATATTAGATATGTATTTTTAATTTGTAAGTATATTAAATTATGAGATAAAACCTAACTTATGAGTGAGAGTAGAACCCATGTGTTTCAATTGAGTATAGATTGGGTCTGTTTAATAGGAAATGGGGTATCCAGATTTATGTTTTATATTTTTTGTTTTGGAAAACTTTTAGTTCTATACAGGATAAATTTAGAAGCAAGAGAGTGGCCACCAATCCTTATTCAGAGGTGAGAAGACTGTGAAATAAGATAAAGTTCATCTGAGCATACTTTTATATAAGCATAATTTTAATTAATATATCATTTATTTACATGTGGAAAAGAGTCATTTGTAAAATAATAACTTTCATATACTAATATGCCCTATACTACTATATAGAGGTGTCCAAACATAAAATTGATGATTTTAGTTTTTTTGATATATTCCCTGTAGTGTATTTGAATTATACACATATGCTATATCACAATTAGAAATACCGGGACAAAAATACTCCTTTACTGTGTATCTAAAACTAAACAAGGTCTAACTTAGCAAAATGCAAACAAATATAATATTAAGTCCCAAATGTATAAAAATTATATATATATAAGATCATGCACACACACACAAACACACACACACACACACACACACACACACACGACTATAAGACATCACAGTCATCAAGAGAGAAAACCTCAACTAGAGAAAACCATTCCTCCATGTGAATATACTATAGAGATGTTAAGTGTCCTGAGATTAAAACAATTCAATAGAATCTCTCAGGTTAAATGGATTCACAAAATATTCTAAAGTCTATGAAAATAGAATAAAGATAATTCCAAACAGAACCTAATAAATTATATATATATATATATATATATATATATATATATATATACACACACACACACACATATACAATTAAAACTTTAAAATATGTCATAAAATTACAATAAGAAAAAATGGGTTTTTGCTGGTGCAAGAAGAGACAGGTAAAGGAATAGAATAGAATAGACAAGCCACAAATAGGTAAACTATTATGCAGAGACAACTTATTGGAAAAGAAGTATAAATGGCCAATATTTTAAATATGTTCAATCCCTAGGTTAAGAGAAAAATACTATATATATCTATATATATTTGATGAACAAAAAAGACTAGAAGATACAGAGAACTGTGATCTGTGATAGTCTCTAGGAAGGGAAATTTAAAATAGGGATAAGGATAAAATAAAATTCCCACAGGTGTGGCTCATATCTGTAATCCCAGTGTCTGGGGATGCTGAGACAGGAGAATCACATGTTCAAAGCCGGCCTTAGCAAAAGTGAGGTGTTAAGCAATTTGGTGATATCCTGTCTCTAAATAAAATACAAAATAGGGCTGGGGATGTGGCTAAGTGGTTGAGTGCCCATGAGTTCAATGCCCAGTACCAAAAAAAAAAAACAGAAAATTCCCTTTTTGTTTGAATTGTTTACCACATGTTTGCATATTACTTATTTTCCGAGTAATTTATTAAATATTTTTCACTCAAGAAAAAAATTGAAAAAAACAGAAAGCCCATGAATAGGCCCAGGGTACAAAAATATTCATTAGATGGTAGAGCAAATTATTGCAAAAGATGTAAATTATACCATAAATGTTTCTGAGGTGATTTTTAAATTATTTGGAAGAAAGTCAATATTAGATGTATTCATATCTTATTCTATATATGGTTCATATAAATTACAGGTTTGAGTATAAAATATATACAATAGTTAAAGAAAATTATCATGAAATATTTGTTTCTTTGGGATAGACAAATTGTTTTTCAATAACATTATAAGGTTAAATATCAACAGATAAAGCACATGTATGAAAAGTCCCTGTCCAAAGAAAAAAGACAAATTAAAAAAATGCCAATGAGCTCAGCTAGCTCAGTCAGTAGAGCATGAAACTTTTAAAAATATCAGTGATCAACAGCATGAAAAATAAAAAAATTTTCAAAGCAATAAAATGATAACTAAAACTATTCTTACTGATAAGCTCATATATTGATTTGTGAAGTATTTTAAAAATATTTATTATTTTTGTTATGAGTTATAGGAATATATAAGAACTATCAATTGCTTTTGCAATTTTACTATCACAAAGAGCAATTTATATAACCTTGGTTAATGAGCCAACTTACAGAAATTTCTTCTCAGAAAGCATACCCAAATCTATAAACAGAATACATGTGTGAAGAAGTTTGCTGCACCATTATTTGTTAAAGTGTAAAATTGTAAATGCCACAAAGAGAGAATTATTTGATGAATTCATTGTATGTCCACAAAACTCAATATTGTACCCATTAAAATGATGTCCTAGAAGATTACCTAATATCCATGATTATCTTTACTTGGAAATGTTGTAACCTAGTAAATACCACAGTTCATAAAGTATGGGCCTACAGACCCAGTCCGTCTATATGATATTTTGTTCCTTTGTCAGTATTTTATAGCTTTGAGCTGAAGTATATAACAATTGAGGGAAAATGCATACAAATCAGGATTATCAGTACTGTTTTATAATTCCAAATGTCTGTCAACTCTGTGACCAGAGCTGAAAGCTATGAGGTTCTCTGCAGG